CGAGCTGCAGCAGGCTCTGCTGCCGGTCAAAGGCGTAGGCGCGGAGAGAGGCGGCTGTCGTCATTTTTTTTCGAGGGGCCGCTATCACACAACTCGAAGAGGCTACGGTAAGTGAGGATGGAAAATAAAGTGCAATGTGCATGACGCGGACACTTTGCAATCCTTGAAAGATCCGACAGCCCTCCCTATCTGGCCGTATTCGCGTCTCCACGTGATGACGTGTTGCTAGTACAATAACCCCTACGCCGCCTCAACAAAGCTCAAAAGTCAATGTACATCGTCTCCAGATACGACTTAATCTTCCCGATCAGCAAATGCTTCTTCTGAATCCCTTGTCTTTGGTCCAACATGGCAACGGGGCACCGACACTACACGCCAACTAGTCACCGCACATGTGCCCCCCCCCCCCCCATCAAGTTACTTTTTTTTGATTTGCTTTCCCAATTGTCAATCCACTAATACATTCTCTGTATACACATTCAAGCAAAACACCTCTGACCCCTCGTCTTCGGTTTGACCTCGGCCTACACAAGTCGTGACATGGCACCATCTGGTCGGTGGGCATCAAGGTGAGCGAGAATCAGGGCCGTCTCCGCCGCATAACTCCCTCAACATCTTCTCGCCGAAACACCGCCGTGACCACACACCACACATCAACGCCACTTTGTCAAAAGCAATTTTTCTTATCATCAGCCCCGGAACACCGCTTTTGCCGATTCCCCCCATCTTCGGGTTCGTTATTCATGTCCTTGGCCATGCTACCCGACCACCGTCTTCTTGGCTTGCTCTTCAAGACCTGCCCTCGTAGCCCAGCGGGATTTGGCCATTCATTGCTTCATGAGCGTCGCGCTGAAGGGTCTCGTAGTACGCGCAGAGGTCGGGGAACGCCAGGATCGCTTGCTTGACCGGAGCCGGAATGTCGCACACAATCTTGCGCCAGTCGTTGATACGGCGGCAGACAACACGGATGAGTTCCTTCATGCAGTTCAGTGACATGACACAGATTTTGTAAGCCCACTCCATGTCGAAAGAGCCGTTTGGGTGCTCCAGATCCTGTGTAGCTGGGTTGATGAGGACGGCCCATGCAAAGTTCTCGTGCGACTGAGACGATGCAGTAGTAGGCAACGCTGCAGGAGCTGTTCCAGAAGCCGCACCAAGCTTGTAGTACTCTTCCCAAACACTGTCAAGGTGCTGGGCAAAGGGGCTTGGTGGAATCCTATTGCGAGAGCCGTTCTGGTTGTGCTGACCTTGGCGGAAAGCCATCTCCTGCACAGCCAGATACTCGGGGATACCGTTCAAAGAGGGACCATGAAATGCATCGGCGTGGTTGATCATGACAGAAGAGCGGCGGCTGGAGTTGAAGGACGGGCGACGAGGCGAGCGCCAGTTGTCAGATGTGTGGCTGGCGTGGGAGTTGCGGCGTGGCGTATCAAATCCTCGAAACTGGCCGGGCTTGTTGCCATTCATCTTTTGAGGAGACTCTCCATACTTCCGCGGAGTCTGAACGAGACCGGAAGGTGGCGAAGTGACTGATGCGGTGCCGTTTCCATCCGCTGTCATGCGACGAGCTCGATGAGGAGTAGTTGGCTGTGCAGACATTAGCCAAAGTTCTTTGGTTTGCCTTGATCAAGACAGTTTCACAATACGTGAGTGCTGTACGGATTGCATATTGACATGTCCTTGAGATGGAGTCGTGGTATGGCTGCGATCATTCTGCAACAGCGATTGTCCAGACGAAGTCAAAGAACCAGTCGACGTGCTCCCATCCGATCCAGTGCTTGTCGCAGCCGCCGCCTCCTCGAGCGGCTTGTCCAGCTGGAAACGAACAGTGAGGCCGCCGCCACAAGGGCTTTTATGGTTGCCATCGCCCACGACTCCGCCCTTGATAGGCGCGCTCACCTCGCGGACTGTCAATAACAAGAGACGGACGCAATTGCAACACAACAGCAACTGACCTGAGACGATGCCATCTCTTAGATGACCTAGCAGTTCAAGACACGATAGGCTTACAGCAAATACGAGAGCAATGCGTTGCCGTATGAGTACGCGGTGGTGGGCAGAGCAGAAATGGTAGCAGATTGTTGGAGACAGCGGCATGCCAAGCCGTTCACCATAACAACAAGCACATCAGAGCGCTGTCTCTGCTCTGCTATAGGACGGCCGACAAAGTGGGGACGGATCTAGAGATCTGGTCGTCCCTTCCATTTTGGTATTGTGTTGCGATGGTGAAGGTGAGTCGGACGCCCGAATAGGAAAGAGCGAGCAAACGAGCAGAAACACGGTCGAGCTCATGTACTCATGGTGCCTTAATAGGACAAGCTACGGAATTTGGCAGTTAGTAATTATGTGGAAATACTGAATATTGGTAGTGTTTTCAAGTAGGGTTAAACAAAGTGATGCATCCAGCAGAACCAAGTCAAATGCCTAGAGTAGATATCAGAAGATATACCGTGTTGGGTACTTCTCCAGTATCACGCGGCATAATGCGGGAATCGTATTTGAGACATGATGAGATAGAAAATAATAAACAACAGAAAGCTGTAGTTGTACACCTAACTGACCTGAAACCACCAACTGAGAAGAGCTCTTGGCAAAACTTAGATTCGTGCTCTAACCACCTAGTAAAATTGCCACTAGGGACACTTTACGAGTCTTACGCTCTTCTTAGAGCTGGCCTAGCACGCCAAAAGATGCAGCTTGTGTCTAGTAGTGAATAAACTAAAATGCATCACATGCAAACATGGCGTATGTAACGTAAAGGCAAGGTTTGCACATTGTCACGCGAGCTCTTGGAGCTAGACGAAACTATTGGAATTGTGGCGGGGGCAGAAGCAATGGCTCGTGGATTTCAAGAGAGCGATGCCTCTGAAGTGAAGATACCGCAAGATGCAGGCAAGCGAGAGGGTGCGCAGAGGCTTCTCGTTTATGCCGTGAGATGTTGGTGTGAAGTCTTGACGTTTTCGACGATGATGTCGTGGGGGATCGCGAAGCCGGGATCGTCCGACATAGGGCGGCAGCCAATCACATCCAGGTCGTTGTCATAACCGAGGGAACTTGAGTGGCGCCCTACCGCTTCAACTTCAATGATACCGACACCTTGACCTTGGAGGCCATCAGACACTCTCCACTCCACACCACCCCTCGCAACCATGGCCTGCACACGCGCTCTTACACGTCTGGCGCTGAGACCAGCTGGTACGCTCCACATTGTCGTGCATCTCAGCCATTGAGCGCTGCTAACACTTTGCGACAGCCGTCCGGCTGGCAGTTTTCTCTCGCAGCTTCGCCTCCGTTACCGACGTGCACGCCCGCGACCCCATCTCCAAGACTGCCGAGAAGATTGTTCCCGATGCTGCGCGAAAGCCCATTCCCGAAAGCCAGACGTCGAACGTCAAGGAGCCCGCACCCAGCAAAGATGCCAAGATGAAGACGTTCCACGTCTACCGATGGAATCCCGATGAGCCCACGTCCAAGCCCAAGATGCAGTCGTACACGCTCGACCTGAACAAGACGGGACCCATGATGCTGGATGCGCTTATCAGAATCAAGAACGAGATGGACCCCACTCTGACGTTCAGGCGAAGTTGTCGCGAGGGCATTTGTGGAAGCTGCGCCATGAACATTGACGGAGTCAACACATTGGCATGCCTTTGTATGTAACACAGATGCGGAACTATGGCTACAAGACTGACCCGAGTTACAGGCCGCATTCCCACGGACACAGCCAAGGAATCTCGCATCTACCCGCTCCCCCACATGTACGTTGTCAAGGACCTTGTCCCTGACATGACACTTTTCTACAAGCAATACCGTTCGGTCAAGCCATACCTGCAGCGCTCCACTGCCGCACCAGATGTACGTACACGTTCGATTGAGCTCCAGAAACGAAGACTAACCCCTCCTCAGGGTCGTGAGTTCCGTCAGTCCAAGGAAGACCGCAAGAAGCTCGATGGTCTCTACGAATGCATTCTCTGCGCCTGCTGCTCCACTTCGTGCCCATCATACTGGTGGAACCAGGAGGAGTACCTTGGTCCTGCTGTCCTCCTCCAGTCGTACCGATGGATCGCCGACTCGCGAGACGAGAAGAAGCCCGAGCGCCTGGACGCCCTTAACAACAGCATGAGCGTGTACCGATGCCACACGATTCTCAACTGCTCAAGGACATGCCCCAAGGGACTGAACCCTGCGCTGGCCATTGCCGAGATCAAGAAGAGCATGGCTTTTACATAAACACAAAACACCCAGCATGCGGGGTAGAGTTGCTGGTGACACTCGCTGTATGTAGGTGTGGTTGATGATTTTGAACCAGGCTTGTATTTTGAGACTTGTACGCACACAAATTCAAGACATTTATCTTCATGTCTTGTTCTGTTTATGAACTAATGCGTGGCAAACCATGGACTGGTACTCGTTGCCTCGACTAACCCTTGCTAACCCTTGCTCATCGTCTCCCACATCATTGGCTTTCCCTATTCTCGCTCCGGACCTCATACATCATCCACCCGCTTAGCGACTGCAACGTATCGCCTCGTCCATCGACCTGGGGGTTTTCACTCTCACTGTTGGTAACCTGTATCCCCAGCGACCCGGCAATCATCTTGGTGTTGAACTTGGTGCCATTGTCATTGACGAGGACGGGCACAGAAGAACAACCAGGAGGAATGTCGTCGGTATCAATCTGATGGTACACGATGCCGTCCAAGACCAATGGCGGATTCATCTCGCAGTGAAACCGCCTAGGCTTGACGTGATTCGCGTCATACAAGCACTCGCCCTCGTTGCTCCACAAACAAAAAGCCGTCAGCCAGCCGCCGAGGTACGAAGGCCCGCTGCCTCCGTCGGTTTCATGTACAATCCTGCCCCAGAATTCGCGCGAAGCCGCCTCGTGCGCAGGATCAAACGTGGCGATAAAGTTGCGCAGCACTGGCCGAAGCAAGTCGGCAAATTGACTTGGCTCTTTGCCCAGCTCGCTCAGCTTGTCGAGCCTAGCGAGGATATCCTCGTAGTCTCTGCGCTCGCCCAGGAGCGTGACGGACGGGATACCGCAACCCATGACAGCTTTGAAAGAAAAATACTCCTTCACGGTGCCCATCATGAGGACGGCGGCGACAGCGCGGTCGCAGTGCGTGGTGGTGCTGAATTCAGGCATGAGCCAGTCACGCAGATGCGCGTCTTTCACGTTATCCTGGATCAAGGCCGTCATGCGGCGCGCAATAACGCCCATATCGACGGTAGCCAAGGAGCCCCATTCAACGACCACAATCTCCCTCTTGCCCTCGTGCGACACGAACAACTCGCGGAGAGCCTCGGCGTTGGCATTGACGTAGAAACCGAGCTGCGACAGGATGGCGAACCACACGTCTTCGGGCCGCATGCGCAGATGCTGGTGGCTGGAGTATGCGTGGAAGGCTGCTCTCACGAAGCCGTTCCCCGAGGCTACGAGTGCTTGAGAGGTCAAGTCTGTGGTGGAAATGGAGCTTTGGATGAATCGCTTGACGGTATATGCGTCTTGCGGATAGGCTTCGTAGAGTAGTGCCATGTGCGATGTGGCTTTCGCCCGGTTGAGCGGCTTGGATGCATGGTCCGCGACTTGGAGTGTGACTGGCATTTTTTTTCTCTTTTCGTGGTCCTTTGTGTGTGTGTTTTAATGGAATGTGTAGTTTACGTGGAGTCCAGGTCGTGCTGCTCATACGCAGATTCTAGGTTGCTTTTTGTAGTTGCTGGTGGAACAAATGCTTTGTTGCATTCCATGGTTGCCATTTCCTGATGCCTGAGTTGACTCAATACCTGGAGTCTCCAATTGCCACGGTACCTTTTCATGAGTCCGCCAATCTTTTGCGAGGTAATTATGTCACTGAGTGTAGTCTGCCCATTGACTCAGCCATATGCTCCAATCGTGTAAACTTGAACTAATCATCGTCATCATGATCCATGGTTGAAGGAAGTTCCTCTGACTCTTCTCAGAAGATTCAGACTCATCAAATAGCCGACTTTTCAAATTCTCTCCAAATCTTTTCAGTATCGCACCATAATCCAACTACATACATACATACATACACACACCGGACGACGACGCGCTAGACCCGAAACAGAAATCCATTGACCTAGCCTATGCACGTACTCAAGAGGGGGGGCACGTACCATGGCATTACTGAGGGGCCCAGTTCTTTTTGCACGGCCCTCCTTTTCGAATCCACAGTTACTATCCGTGCGCAGCCAACGAGCCAGTACAGTCAACGAGCCACCCCACCAAGATCGGACGACTAAAAAGATGAGGTTATTGAGCCACCCACAAAAGCTATCATCGTGAGATCTTTTGGTGTATTACCATATAGACGCTACTAAAGCGTTTGCACTACTTGTATCTCGCTAGCGTCTTAATTTAGCGGGTGTGCAGGCCAAACTTAGGTGGGAAGGGCGCCTAAGGCGGACCCTCAACCACCTAGCTTAATGGAGCAATAACACGACGACGCTTTGCTAGTTTTTTTGCTAGCTTAACTAAGGCTTCTCGCTTACGCTTATTTGCTGTATCGTAAGTTTTTTTAGTGTTGCAGCTTGTTGTTGTTGTTTCAGCGCCTAGGCAGCTGCCTTTTCTTTAGCGCGCTGTTTCTGCTTGCGCTCACGCTCTATTTTAGCTTCCTGTCGAGCAACCTTTGCAGCTTCTGAAATTTTGAGATTGTAGAGCTTTGCCGCCGCCTTGAGTTCCTTATCCTTAGCTTTTTGGAGTTGTTCCTGCTTCTTTTGCTCTTCTCGTACGCTCTCGCGATACCTGGCTTCGCGGAGCTTTCTTAGGGACCAGAATACTGCCCCGCCGTGATACTCCTCGCGCTATTGAAGGTCCAGTGTCTTGCTCTTCTTCTTGGCGTTTGTTTTGGTGTTGAGCGAGCGATTAAGATACTCGTTCTCGTGGTGGAGAAGCTCGTTTTGAACCTATAGAGACTAAAATGAAGCCTTAAGCCGCTAGGCTTTAACTTTTGACTTATCCCCAACCGCAGCGTTGAAAACTTTTCGCAGCTCACGCCAGCTATCACCATCGCCGTGCTGCCTAATTTCTAGAGTCTTATCTTGTTGTTGTGGGTGTTTGTTAAAGCGTTTTAGGATGACCTAAGCATCCATCGGCCACACCCCAGTAACTTAAAAACTCTTCTTGATGAGATCTAGAGTTATTGTAGAGCTCTAAGCGGGCCAAAAGAGGCTAAAGAACTCTCTTTTTGTTGCCTTTGCCGTGCCGTGGGACTCGTGGAGGTGGCGATCGAGTTGTTTCGAGTATGCTTTCAACATCGGAGCGAACACAACCACATTAAGTGGCTGCAAGCTGTGGGTTGCGTGGGGTGGAAAGATAGCCAACAGGATGCGGTTGCCATCGCAGAAATCTATAAAATCAGTTGATACATGGCTGCCGTGGCCATTAAGGATCAGAAGCTGGTAATCCCGTCTTGCTTTTGGCTTCGTGAAGCGTTCAAATACCTATTTAAGCCACGCTATGCTAATTTTATTGTTGCTCTATCCCGTCGCTGAGTTTGAGAAGAAAATCTTATGTTTTGCGACCTCAACGGCGTCAACCTAGCTCGATTGAATCCTGGCGGTGCCCTTGTAGATAATAGCAGGCGGCAATACCTTACTAGAAGCGCATACGCAAGCTAGCAGCGTTACCTATTCTCTGTTGCTATCCTGTATCGCCGCCGTGATCTCTTCTAACGCCTATAGTGCCTTAGAAAAGACGCGCTTTGTGCGGTTTGTAATGCTAATAAAGAAGCCCTTCTTATCTATATTGTAGGTATTGCGCGCGTTAACGTTGTACTTTCGCATTTTCAAATGCAACAAGTCAAAGTATAGACTGTATCTTTCTTCTAAATTAGTGTTGTGACGTTTGCGATCAATCCTAGTGCTCCATTTGATAGTGAGCTCGTTGGCATAGCGATGCAGAAAGCGGGAAACCCAGGCTGTGGAAACCTCATTTTTAACTATTGTCGCCGCAAAATTTTGTATCATTTTACGCGTAGGAGGAAGCCTTTAGCGAGTACAACGTTCTATGTATAGCATAAGTTTATGCTCTTGTTGTGGGTTAAGATTTTAGCGGTCTTAGGCAGCTTGTTTGACTTTAGACAGTTGTGCGCCTTTGTGCTGTCACGATAGCGTCGTTTAATTAACTCTAAATATTTTTGCAACTTAGCAGTACGAGAATTTATCTCTAGCCTTACGCAATTTAATATATTTAATTGCTTCTTGAATTAGATCTATAGTTGTGGAGTTACGACGCGTTAAAGGTGGGTGGGTTCACGATGCGGCAGTTTGGTGGGGTGGCTCGTTGACTGTACTGGCTCGTTGGCTGCGCACGGATAGTATCCAGACCCTTTTTTTTTCTTTGCGCGTCTCTAGTTAATACCTAGTTCACAAAGGACATGATTACATGCCACCTGTTTTTTTTCTTTTAATTACAACCAAGAGAGACAGACGCACCCCAAGGACGCGCAAGGTTCAAACTGTGAAGCACGCATGTTTCACGTTGGCCTTTTTACTACCCTGAACGAAGATGCTATTGCTCACCCTAGCGATAACACGCGGCGGTGGCATTGCTTGGCAGCAGCTTTACCGCGCCGCGTGCGGGGATATCTACAGTAGGTAGCTCCATGTGCGCTTTTCTCTTTGTTTTACTTTACTCGGAGGCCCTGGACGTATATGTGGGTGCAACATGCAGGGTCCCCCGATTGGTATAATGTAGGTAGAGTAGTATTCTACTCAACACACGTATGTTTTGGCATTGGCCTGTCTGCGCTTGGCCTAGCTTGGCGAGCGCGACACAACAAGCTTATTTTTCTTTTCTTTATTGCGCCCCTGACTGGGAAGGAGAGCAAATGAGGAAAGAAAAGCAACCAGATGTCGGAACGGATATTGGCTTCTCATAGCTTTTCCAAATGGCCAGAGAGGCCAAAACATGGTCAACGTACGTTGGCAACGTATAGCCGTGACTACAGTATGACTATCAAACCGTCACCATCGGCCCTACTCGGAGAAAACCAAGCCAGGCGGAGACAAGCCATATGCGTCTTAGGCAGTGATTGGTCTGCAGATAAAGGCGGAGACGCGTAGGTCCGCTCTGACGCAGGTACGTATCTCCAATGGGGCTTTTTTTCTTGCTGCCAACCCATGTGTGGCTTAGCTTGATGGAGGGTCGGCAACAAGCTTACGATGGATGGATGGATGGATGGAGGTTTGTGCTTCTTCGGCTTCGGCGTTACTCCGCTAGAGTGAACGAGAGAGAGAGATAGAGAGGCTGGGGTTACATTCACCGTCTGTCTCGTGGAAATGGGCTGTGCATGTGAAACGCCGTGACAGCATACCTCCATGTGCGATAATAGGACACTGAGTTACTTGGCAGAGGAGAGGAAAAGAAAAAAGGTTGAAATGATGGGAGTTGGTAGGGGGGGGGGTGGCGAAGGAATATTGAGGCGAACGCTTTTGTTGCCTCTTTTCTTGCTAGCTTGGAGTTCGTGCCAAACCAGTGCAAGGGTGGCGGAGCTCCGGGACGCCCTGGTGTCGCGGCGACGAGCCGCAGATCGCAAAGTGCGGTCAAGGAGGCTGGAAGAAAACAAGTCGAGAAGCAGCAACAGCGCGGAAAAATGTAAAGCAACTCGACAAATGTTGGACGGTAGATTTATTAACTTGATTCGCTCATTGAGGTATCTTGACTTGTTCATTATTACCACGGACCCAAAATCAATAAGGATGTCCGCAAGCCATGGGGCAATTGGATGAGAAAAGCCCATGGACAGTAGTAGGTTATACGCGAATATTCAAACACATTATACACAAGCTTCGTCCCCGTCCGACATGAAGCGTGTTGACGATCGTATCGTGGGTCATGAATTCTTGGCTCTTAACTCTCTCACTCCGGTAGCTGCTTTGATGCTGCTACATGCACTCTGCCTCGGCTCGACTTTGGGTATCTTATGCGGTGCCCTTGGCGGCTTGCCTCTGTTGTGGTTGTTAGGATAGGGGTCCAGCAGGGCGAGAAGTATAACACATACCTTCTTGTTGATGAACATGGCAATGACCAAGATGGCGACGAGGAAAACAATACAGAAGACAACAATGACACCGGGCTCGCGCTGGGCCCAGTTGTCGCGCTTGGCGAGCTGGTGCAGGGTGTACTCTGCGCGAGCAGCGAGGGGCATGCTGATGGCGGCCATTGTGGATTTAGGTTTCTGCGAGAGGAGAAGGGTCAGAGAGGATGTTGGAGGACGGAGTGGAGAGAAAATGTAGGTCGGGTGGCGCTCTACATGTAGGGCGAGGCGAGACGACGCGATTAATGGATCTGAGGCGGTCTAGGCGGGATTTGGGAGGAGGGGTTGGGGACGCTGCTCGAGCGGCCTGGCCCTTGTCGCAAGATTTACACGTTTGTTTCGATAGGCGGCCAGATGCCATGATGCGACGCCATGACACAGCCGTGTGGGCGCAGACAAGAGGCGCAGAAAACAAAGAGAATCGGCGGCGCGTGAATAGCTTACATTTACGAAATTAATCGGACCTGGGTCGAAATGGACAGGAGGAGCTTTGGTGGACGGAGCGGCTGGTCAGCGCGATTGGATTCAATCCAAAAGGTCTAACGGTCGCGAAGGGCACTGGAGGGACTCGGCGATGGCGATTGAGAGGGCGCAGGACGAACAGCGGTGCAGCATCAAAGAGTGAGAACAGAAGCCTTAACAGCAAGAGCGCTGCCCGTCGGGCTTTTAAACAGCGGCTCGCCGAAAATTCTGCAGTTGATGAGGCATTTTGTTTGGACCCGGTCATAGCGGGTTGTCCGGGAGCTCCAAGCCTGCAAGGGTGGATTTGCACGCAGTTCGGCCGGGGGGGTTGAGGCGATGACGGAATGGGACTGCACGTACCTTTTTGGATGTTTGCGCGGATGCTTGGCCGCCAGCTCGCACGAGGGAAGAGGGCCGATTGAGGAGGAGGAGGAGTGGTGATGGTCAACGGGGCATTGGGTCGTGTACAGCAGTGCTTCAGGTTGAGGAAGAAGCTAGCGGGCTGCTGGGTGGGAGAAGCTTGCTCGCCTCGGGTGCAGCCAATGGCATGGCGGGCGAGCCATTCACTGCTATCCCACCTCCACTGCCACCTCGTCGTCGTCGTCGTCGTCTCTCTCCACCACCACCGCCACCACCACCACCACCAGCCGTCCCCCATTGCATCGGCAGGCATTCCAGCATCTCAGCATGCCAGCATGCCAGCATCTCAGCATGCCTCCACAGGCGCATGGCATCTCGCTGCTGCAGGCCGCCGCTGACGCTACTCGGTCGGCTCCACCCAAGCGCATCCAAGTTCCCTGCCTCGAGGGCTTGTAACGGTTGCCCGTCTGCAGTTGCAGGTTGCAGCAGCACGCCGCCGCCGCGCCGTGTCATGGGCCAATGCTTATCACGTCTGACTGATGATATGATGGCTGGCACCCTTGGCCTCCCCCGAGTCTGCCGCGAGCCCGCGTCCAGCCCCAGCGCCAGCCCAGAGCCGTGGCCCGTCAGACAGGCGTGCCTAGCGCACCGGAATCAAAACAAGTCACCCACACGCCCAAACAATAATGCCTCAGTTACATAGACGCGCCCCCGATGCGCGACGCCGATAGCGCCGACTGCCGTCCAGACGCGGCGCGTGGGGGGAGGCGACGGAGCATGAGCGACGACGCCCCATTAGCCTGCGCTGGGGATCCTCACCAAGCTTCTGCTGTGCCTATGCCCCCGGATCTTGGCGAGCATTGGCGTCTTGAGTGCACCATACAGTATGTGTGTGTGTGTGTGTGACGCCCACCCCGCGCAGCGTGCGCCTCACGGGCATGCGTAATCCATATCTACACATCTACCTCTACACGTGCAAGCCGTCCATGTCTAGTCGTCTGCACCGCCGCTCCTCTGTCACATTGTCTGTTGCCTCGGCCGCAAAGCCAATATTGTTGATATCAACAAGCTTGGCATAGCGCCCGTCCCCCATGACTCGCGCCCCTCGCCTCATATAGTAATGTCACGGCAGTCATAAAGCAATTATTCACCCCATCATGACCACTGCTATGTGCAGCCATCCGTCCAGATAGGCCGCCGCACGCACCAGCTCCTCGACGCTCGCGCTCAGAGGCAGCGCCGCTCCATGCAGCACCGCCTGCGCCAGCAGAGGACTTCGCCTGCTCGGAAATAACGTGGGCAACATGTGGTTCAGCGCCGTGCCGATCGTCTGTGGCTGTCCTGCTCACCCGTCAGCGTCCACTCGACTCCTACACCGCAACAAAGACGTACTAGACGACAGACTCGGCGGAACCAGTCTTTGCACAATCCTCAGGCTGCCCGGTGCCGCCTCTTCCTGCACACCTTCCGGTGCCGCGTGTGGTAGGTACAGTCTGACCGGTAAATGTCTCAGGTTAACGCCCTGCGGATTGAGTAGCTTCTGGTTCACCGGGTTGTACAGCCCAAAGTCGTGCTTCTTGACCCCTTCCCACAGCTGCGTGCTATCCTCTTTGCTCAGGAACATGACCGTCTTCCCCGTGCCTGTCCGCAGATAATCCGCCTCTTTGACGCTCTGGATAAACAGGTCGTGCAGCTGCTTGTCGTCATTGTCGAGCTGCACCAGCTGCTCCGCCGGGTACTCGGAAAAGTGTATCGTGAGCCGCCACGGGAGGCGCCCGTGTTCCTCTTCCGCGCTCTCGACCTTGTGCGCTGGTGCCGCGTCGCCATGTGCGTCCGACGCATACGCAGGCTCCGCGCCAGCGTAGAGGTCATACAGGAGGCCCAGCGGATAGTGCCACTTCAGCGGCACTTGTTGATACGAGAGCCATGCGTCTTTGGGGCTGACGTCGGGGTAGATGAGGCTGCGCGAGAAAAACGCATGCAGCCTGTGAATCAGCAGCCCGAGATACGAGAGGCGTGGGAATTGTATCTGGCAAGCTTCGTCAACAAACAACGCACCGCCAACCACTACCACCACTGCAAGGCTCCCCTCGTTGACGCGTCAAGGAGAAACATGCTTTGTTCCACGTACTAGGTAGGGATCCGACTCGTTGTAAGTTCTGCAGTCGCCCTTGTGCAGCCGAATCTCGAGCGGGATGCTGCCGTGCCAGGTGCTCTGTCGCAGTTTGCCCGCGACGTCTCTCGAACCCATCGAAGAAGCAAAGGCATCCGAAATGCACGTCGCCAGCCTGCCTTCGCATGGAGCCTAGGCACAGCCGATGGATGGTTCGATGGTGGGGTAGCTGCTAGCCACCAAAGGCCCGTCGGCTATGGCGGGGTAAGTCTAAGCAGTAAGTCTAAGTAGTAATCGCCATGCAGGGAGGGGAGCTCGGGCGGCCGAACAGCCAAGTACCTAGAGCATCTTCCCCCCCGGTGGTGCCCACGCGTCTCTGTGACAACCGCAAACGCAAACGCCTTCAGGTGGTCGGTTGGCCATGTAGTAGAATCCGTATGCTGGCCCTTGCCCTTTTTTCCCCCTCCTCGCAGCAGCATCCTTGCGACGACAGATGGGTGACTTACAGACGCAGGATACCTGGACCATGAACGTGGCACTGAGCCGCAAGCGCTCGCGCCTCGCCATCGATGAGGACGACGACATCCCCCCGCGACGGGAACCCTCCCCCGCCCTCTCGCCCCTCGGCGACACGCTGAAGAAATCAAAGACACAGTGCGAACTGGAAGAGCTCGACATCATCCGCCCGGAAGAGGCGTGGCACATCGATGTAGACGCCATACTAGCCAGCAATGCGCTCGCATCGCCGCCAGGCAGCGCCCTCGAGCCCCACAGCAATTGGGCCAAGTACCAACGAGGCGCATCGACCACAATCCTGTGTGTCCAAGGTAACGTTCAAACACACTACGAGTTATTATGGTACGCCCCGCTCCCCTGAACTTGAAGAAAGAAGAAGAAGAAGAAGAAAGGAAAAAAAGACGACTACGAACATCACCCCCTGACTTTCGCACCTCCAGCTCCGCACTCCCAGACCTGTACCGCATTGCGCCCTCGCTCCAGGCTTTTGTCCTCTGCCACGACCCTTCGACCCATGTTCTCTCGCCCGACGCGCCCTTTTCGCTCCCCTTGCTCCAAGCCGCAAGCCCTCCAAACAACCACTTTGTGCGCCTGGGCCTTCTGCATCCCCTGGGCGGAGGCAAGTTCCCGCTCGATGCCCTCGTCGTGATCGATAGACATGCGAGGAGGAGACTGGTGCTGCCGTTTGGATGGGGCGCAGGCAAGCATGCTACTACGCCCGCGGGACGCAGCATACAGCGGGGACTGATGACTTTATTGAGGACCTGTGTTGAGCAGCTGGAGCTGGACCGCTGATCATACAGGGGTTGACTCCATGTTGTTGGTCATCCACGTTGCCTTTTGCACTACCGAGTCCGCATGACTTGACTTTTGTAATACTTTTTTTTTACTTCGATGCTCGTGCATATTGTTTTGGTTATGCTAGTATCTTTCGCTAATACATTTACTCAGACATCAAGTCACCATACGCAGCACCATGAGTTTAATCTACTTGTTTTATGAGGGATTCCAACGGGCTGTCACAGCAGAGTTCACAACGTAAAAGCGTACGCAATACAAGACAGCAGTGAGGTATCATACCTTGTACACAACAAGTAGGATAACTCTAGTCTATGGATGCTCTATCTCTACGGGTATCTCTATGCTATCTTGTCCACTGTCAACGACCCTAACGCCCCACCCTCCAACGCCACTAGCCTACTCGACTCAATTTTCCGCTTCCACTTTGTAGACTCGTATCTTGCCGTAATAACAGTAAGCTTCAGCACAGGCTCCTCTTCTTTCGGCTCCTCTCCCGCTGGCAGGGGTACAGACGTAAATATCCAACGGCCAAATGACCAATTCAGAATATATCTCGCCCGGCCCTGAGGGGGTTGCTGAGTAGACGCAGGAGTCGTATCCGAGGACTCGGGCGGCGTGGAAGTATACAGGATACCCTTTATGCGGTACACTTCATCCTTTGTCGGATCCTTGAGAAACTGCGCCAGCTTGTGCGTATCCACGCATGCCGCCTTGTCCTCGCTCTTCAGCATCACAGTCAAGACCTCGACTTCACTCGAGTGACCATGATCATGCTGCTCATGAATCTTGGCATCCGCCTTGGTTTCCTCCGTGATGCCCGCAAGCCTTGCATCAAGCCCAAACACAATATCCTTGCCTACCCACCCCTTGCTGCTCTTGGTCCTCGGAATCGGGGGCTCCACTTCCAGCGCCAGAATCGCATCCTCGACGTCTTCGAGCCGGCGCTCACTAACCAGCTCGTGCTTGTTCAGCACAATCAGATCTGTATATCGCGCTTGCATCTTGGCCGTGTAACTCGTGTCTTCGTAGCCCTTCCAGTTCTCCACGTCAATCACGCTCATGACTCCGTCGAGCACGTATTTGCCCGTCTCGCGGCTCAACCGGTTCACCTCCATGGCCAGCGTAGCGGGGAAGGCGGATCCAGACGTCTCGATTACAATGCGGTCGGGCGATACATCGCGGGCGAGCGTCTCGAGCGCGTCAGACAGCTGGCCGACGAGGTTGCAGCATATGCAGCCGTTGAGCAGTTCTTGCACGCCCGAGATGGCGGCAGACGACGCGAGCGCAGTATCGACCTTGACATCGCCGTATTCGTTCTTGAGAAGCGCGAGCTTGTACGACGGGGGCAGTTGGGGGATGAGGTTGAGAATGAGGGCTGTGGGGGGTCGAGGTTAGCACGTGGGGTCGAGGAACCGTATGTATCATCAAGGTTATTCCCGTGTCCAAAAGAGGGCAAAGCAAAGCAAAGCAACATACTCGTTTTCCCAGAGCCCAGGAACCCCGTGATAATCGTAATCGGTATCATCACGTCACCGACACTTTGGCTCAGCACAGCAGCAGCAGCAGTTAGCGACGGCACAATGGCGTATGGGTGCACGCGGGTGGGGGTGGGGGTGTCAAAGAAACACAATGACGCTCAAGATCCAGGAAGCATCTAGCAGCCCAGTCAGCCCAGCCTCGCACGGGAAGATCGAATAAGAAAAAAGGAGCAGAAAAAGGAAAAGCGGATAAGAGAAAGTCAATCTAGCCAGGCCGGAAGGTTCCTCCCGCACGTGTGTCGCAGCGCCTAGGAGCAAAGCGTGCTAGTTTGCAGCTGGTGGTGCGGAACAGCATTGGTGGGGGGGCCAACGTCGCACCATGACGTCTGCGTGCAGCCTGGGCGGCGCGGGGCAACAACGCCAAACCGCCCTCCAGCTATCACGTCGACGCATCAGGTACACCGAGCCGTAGCTGCTTGGGCGGCATGATTGCATGGCGCAGAGGGCCATTGTCGAGCGGCCCAGATCCTGCTTTTTCTTTTTTACCCCATGCCTCTCTTTTGCTTGTGTTGCTCCTTCCAAGGCCCCCCCCCTACTTACCTATGTAATTGCTTTGCATAAATAGCGGTTTGCGCCGCTCTCAGCTACTTCGCTCCCTTACTAACCCACCTTCCTCCCACCCTGAACCTCTCCTGTATTTCTGCACTACTTCTCTTCCTCGACTAACACTCCAACACCAAACCATCATGGACTTTGTCAACAAGTTTACCGGCGGCCAGGGCCAGAGCGCCAACGAGCAAGTCGTCCAGGACAAGAGCTCGTCGGGCCAGCAAGCAGAGGGCTCCTCAGGCTTCCTCGGCGGCATCGGCAACAAGCTGAACGAGGCGGCTGGGGGCGGCAAGGCCAGCGAGAAGAACGAAGACTACCTTGACAAGGGTGTGTAACCCTGCCTCACCAACATGCCCTCTCTAATGACACATGCGCTAACACAATTACATCACACAGGCGTCGACTTTGTCCAGGAAAAGGTCCTCGGCCAAGGCCCCCAGGACAACGAGTCTGCCGTCGAGCAAGCCAAGGACGAGCAGATTAGCGACTTTATCCGTGGACAGTACAAGAACACGACTGGCTCGGATTTCCCCATCAAAGACAAGGAGACTCGATTTGGTTAGAGGGAACACCTGGAGGAGATTCATGTGCCCCCAGCTTGGAGAACGGCCGTTTTGCGTCTGGGCATAAGGCGGCACGGCATCTCAGATGCTTATGACAGTCATGAATTGAAATGAAAAATATTTAATGCCGGTTATTGACAATAACGCTGCTTGTCGCGCAGACTGTGTGATATCTTGATCTTCATGCATTCCACACCGCAAAAGGAATCATCACGTCAAGCTGGCCGGATATTACCAAACACCTGTAGTCTACCTATATGGGAATAGATCATGACTCGCTCCCAATCTGCCAAGCGTCCATCTCTCCGCTGCCACATGTAAGATCCTAGCGCTTACTCCACTTTACAACTGTTCAATTCCCTCAACGATCTTGGCAAGCGTTGCTTCAGAATCATCCTGCAGCAGATCCTTGATCCTGCGCGACCTGGTCCTTGTTAGCATTCGTTTTTCCTGTCCGCACAGCATACACTCACAGGTTCCCTAGCTTACAGGCCTCCATGCTTTGCTCTAATTCCGCGCTCTTCACCTCAGCCACGTCAAGAACCTTGTCGGGAACTCTTGCCAGCCTGGCGACGTTTAGCCCGTACGAGCGATGACTGATGCCCTCTGTAGCCTCGTACAAGAAGACTACTTCTCTGCCGCCACTCTGCTCTTCGAAGCGCATATGCACGTTTTTCAGCTGACCATTGGGAAACCGTGACGATAGCTTGGCCAGGTGCTGGTAGTGTGTTATGAACAGCGTCAGAGACTGTAGCTCACGAATGACGTAGTCCAGCACTGCTTCGGCTATGGCAACGCCGTCAAAGGTCGAAGTGCCGCGACCCAGCTCGTCAAGAATGACAAGAGAGCGAGGCGTTGCGGATTTGAGAATATCAGAAGTTTCGTTGAGTTCGACCATGAATGTCGACTCGCCTTTGAGCATGTTGTCAAATGCGCCCATGCGGGTAAAGACTGCATCCAGCATTCCCAACCGCGCTTGGGCAGCTGGTACGTAGGAGCCGATTTGCCCCATGATGGCGATAAGAGCGGCGGAGCGCACAAACGACGATTTTCCGCCCATGTTGGGGCCTGTGACTAGAAGGCCACGAGTTGAGTCGTGAGACAGGGAGAGATCATTCGGCACATAACTGTCGAGAAGCAACTGCTCGACCATTGGGTGTCGGCCGCCGGTTATGTTGAGTTCAATATCGTCTGTAAAGGTAGGCTTTACGTAGCCTGGCTGATTGGCTAGAGTAGCCAGAGACAAGAGAGCGTCGAGCGTAGCCAAAGAAGCTATACAGTCTCGGAGTTGCTGGTACTTTGACGAGACCTCTTCTAGTAGGCCCATGTACGCTCTGTCGCACGCCGCCGCAAGCGACTCTTTGTACTGATCCCGCTCCTGCAACATGCGCTTGACTTCTGGAGTATGGAAGCGTAGTGTGGTCTTGGTAGCTGATATTTGTTGCCACGATGCCGGAACCTTCTTCTCTTCTGGCGCCTTTCTCTTAACTTCGATCAGATATTCAATGCCTGCAACAGTGACGTAATCCACCTTGCTCTTCCCAAGTTTTGCTGCTGCCTCCTTGCGGTGTGTGTTGAGGTCGTCTTCTACGGACGCAATACTCAGCTTTAGATCATTGATATCTTCCGCCTCGTGTTCCTCGCGAAAGAACGAATACTTGTCATCGTCCTTGGCAGCACGCGCATTGATCTTGTCTAGGAAGCCATTGAGATCCTCGTATATCTTTGGAACGTTTGAGACCGCTTCACTGAGCAATGACGAGGAGAAGCCGCTTTGCTCAGGACTTTGCACAGACAAATACTCGCTCGATATCTCCTGGAGAGCTTGTAGAGCCGACAAGAGCTCCGGTCTCGTGCACTTTTTGTAGTATATCCGGATGAGAACCTTTTCGAGATCGGCCTTGATTTTGCCCAGCACAAACTTCAGCTTGTCCACAGGTATCGTGTTTTCGCCTTCCTTGAGCTCTTCGACTGCAGCTATGCGCTCTTCCAGCTTAGCTTTGTCAATCAATGGTCGACCAACCCACTTCCTGAGCAACCGTTGTCCAAAGCGAGTCCTGGTCCGATTCATGGTCCAAAACAGACTGCCTTTTGAAGTGAAGTCGGTCTGATTCTGATAGATCTCAAGACTGGACAATGTGTTTCCGTTGAGGAGCATATAAGATCGCGCGCTGAAGGGCTGGAAGTACTTGGTAAGGTCAAAGACGTGTTCCAACCCGTACTCGCTGAGGTATGTAATCATCGCAGACAGACATATGGTGACATGTTCTGACAGCTGGTGCACCTTGTCCAGGATTGCGCCCTGCTTTTCTGAACCGGCCTCCTGACTGGACTTCATCTTGCCAGCATAAAAGTTTGAGATGTGGCTGTATGCTTGTGCAGCCATTTTCTTTGGCTTCTCTAATCTCTCCACCCGCGATCTGTCTCCAAAAACATTGGTTTTGCTGGCCGATAGATGCTCGATCAGCTTGTTCGTGGCCTTGGACAGATCGCCAACCACTAGGAACTCGGCTGGAGCAATGTGCAGCAGGCGCGTCTCAATCTCGCTCCGCATGAAGCCGTCTTCAAAGTCGTCATAGATGATGTCGCCTGTTGCGGGCTGCACAGCTACCAAGCCGACCTGGACCTTTTCGTCCGTACCCCAGCCCTTTGCATTGCTCTCGGTGATGCAAAGCAGATATCCAGTCGCCTGTGCGCTGGCACCGGAGCCCTCGGCTGGTGTTTCCAAGCCTTCCACATCATCCACATATGTGCCTTTGGTGTAGAGATTTGTGAGTTTCCGGACAAATGGTGCGTTCCTGTTATTGCCAGCCGCCTTGAGTGCTGCTGTTTCCACCTGTCGCACCACGCCAACTTTGTGGTTCGCTTTCACAAGACGTTTGACATGGACTTGCAGACGGTGGGTGGGAAAACTGGCAGACGCAAATCTGTCCAAGTGCGCCTCAGACGGATGCTCATCGTACCGAAGCTTTCCAGGAATGCAGACAATACCCAGCTCTTTCGATGCGGTTCTTGCATCTTCACCAAAGAATTTGTATTTGTATCCGACTTCCATGACGATGATCGTGTCCAGATGCTTGCGCTTTATGTCGAGGTACTGGATCTCCATGGGCGTCAACTTGCTTGCCTTTTTCGTCGCGGCGCCCTTTTTCCCTTTGGCGGGCTTTGGCGGGGGCTCGTCCTCCTCATCTTCGTCGCCTTCGCCCTCCTCCTCATTGGCATCGTCTTCTGTGAGGACCTTGTTCCGCCTTCGAAGCTCTGCAAAACTATCAGGCCGACCCAGTTTCTTCACAAACTTCTCGTGCAGTTTCTGCTTTTGTTTCTGGGCTGCCGCGGCATCCTCTTCGTCATCCTCGTCATCCTCGCCATCCCCGTCTCGGATCGGCGGTGAGGACGAGAAGAGAAACCTGGAGGTTCTATCGGATGCTTTGGAAGGTTTCGATGTGGCCGATGTGGTGGTGGGTGTGTGCGCTGGCGATTGTTGCGGAGAAACGTCATTCGTGAAGCGGACGCGTTTCGAGGGCGACGAGCGACCCGACTCCTGGGCATGATCCCCGTCTACCGGACGCTTACGCAGGGTGAGAGGGGTTCTTATTGGAAGGCTGTCTTCTTTATCTTCGTCGGCATCTTCCTCGGTGGTGCTCTTGCTGGGGCGTGGAGATTTTGGCTTTGGGGCAGGGGCAGGCGCTGGTGCCGACGTGGCTTTGGGTGGTTGCGCGGGCTTCCGCGTGAAGAAGCTGGAGATGGTGGGCTGGGTGCTCTTCTGCGACGATTGACTGCTTTTCGGCGTCATTGGACGGTTGGTAGGGGTGACGACGGACGTCGATGTAGTGCTAGTGGAGAAAGCTGGAGACGCGTGGGGGCCACCGCGACCCGCGACTTGGCCCCATCACGCTGTCACGTTTCCGCGGCTTACTGTGCTTACCTTAGCCGCCGAAGGCTTTCTTTTTGGCATCGAACCCCAGACCATGGATTGCGTCAACATCAGCCACGGCTCAACCGTCATTCTCTTGGGTCACCCGTATTCATTCGGCCACCTGTAGTTCGCGCTCGTCATGAACAGAACGGCCGCCGAACCAGGAACGCAGCTCGACGACTCGCCTTATCATTGGAACAGGTTTTTACGATAAAAAACTAAGTAGCTTCCCAAGACAGCTAACCTGCCGCGTACCCTTCCCGCCCGCCTCGCTTCCCTCCGTCTCCACGCCTCTCTGCTCTCTGCGGCCTCGATTCCTTCCAGCAACGCATTATCGCCTCAACATGCACCACGGGCCGTTCTCGTATCTTTTGCGTGAAACCTCGAGGCTGAAGTGAAAAAAAAAACTCTGGGAAAGCTCCGCGATTGCGCCTAATGTCCCGCATAGGCGCCTTCGCTGCTTCTACTGCGCTTCTACTGCCGGCGCTAATGCGATTGGAGTAATTACACTGACTCTGGGTCACTGCAGCTAGCAACCCCGCCGGCTTCGGCTGCTGTATAAAGTGATAGTCACGGCGCCTTGAACAACCCCCTCACGACAATCCGGCGCGCTGCTCCTTCAATTGTTTTTTGGACATTGTTGCAGTGTTGGCAGTATGGCACGAACCTTGGGTCTCAAGGCCTTGATTGGCCTCTTGACGCTGCACAATGCTTCGGGTACCCCGGTCAACAAGAGACGTCCCGATTACCCAACTGCGCCGCTGCATTCTTCTCAAGTTCCGCGACTTGGTGCCGTGGCTTCTGAAACCGACATCTGCAGCCGTATTGGAACAGATCTGTTGAAGGCAGGTGGAAATGCGGCAGATGCTCTGGTTGGTACCGTAGCATGCATTGGTGTCACTGGCATGTATCACTCTGGTAAGCCCGCCTTCGCTCATATCAACAAGGATGAATATGCTAACAAATACTAGGCCTGGGTGGAGGTGGCTTCATGCTTGTCCGTTCATCGAACGGCACTTATGAATTCATTGACTTCCGCGAGACAGCCCCAGCCGCTGCTTCGGAGAACATGTACAAGAACAACACCAAGGCCAGCGAAGAAGGCGGTCTCGCCTCTGGTGTCCCGGGTGAAGTCCGTGGTCTCCAATATCTCCATGAACGCTATGGCGTTCTCCCCTGGAAGACTGTCTTCGAGCCCGCCGTCAAGGTCGCCAGGGACGGCTGGAGGGTCAATGAAGATCTGGTCAGGTACATGGCTTCTGCGACCAACAACTACGCAAACAACTTCCTTCTGAATGACCCGCAGTTTGCCGTGGACTTTGCACCTCACGGCCGCCTTCTGACGCTCAACGAGACCATTACACGAAAGCGCTATGCCAACACGCTTGAAATCATCGGAAGCGAGGGCCCAGACGCCTTCTACAACGGCGGCATCGCATACTCCATGATCCGTGCTGTGCAGGCCTCCAACGGTATCATGACGCTTGAGGACCTGAAGAACTACAAGGTTGCCATCCGCAAGCCCTCGACAATCACCTACAGGGACTACAAGCTCACGGCCTGCAGTGCCCCCTCGGGCGGTGAAGTCGCCCTCACTGCCCTCAAGATCATGGAGGGCTACTCGGACGTCGGCAACCCAGCCAACCTCAACCTGACGACGCACCGCCTCGACGAAAGCATGCGCTTTGCCTACGGCATGCGCGCCGAACTCGGCGACCCGCTGTTCGTCAAGGGCATGGACAAGTTCCAGGAGGAAATGCTGTCCGAGGCGACCGCCGCCGAGATCCGCAAGAAGATCTTTGACAACAGCACCTTTGGCGTATCCTACTACAACCCCACTGGCCTCGAGTCGCTCGAGACGCCCGGAACCAGCCACGTGGTAACTGCCGACGCGAGCGGCATGGCCATTTCGCTCACGACAACCGTCAACCTGCTCTTTGGCAGCAAGCTCGTCGTCCCCGAGACGGGCATCATCATGAACAATGAAATGAACGACTTCAGCATCCCCAACACGACAAACGCCTTTGGCTACATCCCCAGTGCCGCAAACTTCATCCGCCCCGGCAAGCGGCCCCTGTCGTCCATCTCTCCCGTCATCGTCGAGCACCTGCACGCGCCCATCTCAAAGGCCTTTTACGTGGCCGTCGGTGCTGCAGGCGGCTCCCGCATCATCACTGCCACCATTCAGAACCTGGTGCATCTGCTCGACGGCAAGATGACGACACACGATGCCTTGGCCCAGCCCAGGTTCCACGACCAATTGGTGCCGTCAACAGCGGCGTTTGAGTATGCCTTTGACAATGCCACGACGGCTTTTATGACGCAAATCGGTGCCAATGTCACTTGGGTCGCGCCGGGAGGCAGCAGTGCGCAGGCTCTGCGGTTGTTGCCCAATGGAACGTTTGAGGCGGCCGGTGAGCCCAGGCAGAAGAACAGCGGAGGTTTTGCTGTTTAACAAGGTGTGTGTTTAATGGATAACGTGTTTTACAAGCGAGCGCCGCGTACAAGCGAGCGCCGCACCCCACTAACTTTGTGCACCTCTCTCATCTCAATACATAATGGCTCAACGCAACGCTAGTTAGTTAGCTTTAAATGAAGCAGATATCCAGCTCGCTATATCCTCTATTGAATCTAGTCAGATACAGAGTAATCGCAGTGCTGCTGCTATCTATAACGTGTCAGAACGAACAATCCGCCGCCGACGCGTCGGCAAGCCTGCCCGACGCGATTGCCAGCCCAACTCAAAGAAGCTTACCAAGCTAGAAGAGTAGGTGATAATTGATCATGTACTTAATCTGGATCTACGTGGATTTTCGCCTACCTATGCAGCTGTTCGAGATATGGCTGATAGACTGCTGGCTGCGCGCGGCGCGTGGCCAG